ATAGTACGAAAAAAAGATTAATATCACTTTAGGAAGTATAATAAATCAGAAAATCCATGCCTAATTCAGTTATCTTCCTCTTGTCTGTCTCTGTAGAAATCCTATTTAAATTTTGCCAATTCAAATTATAAATTAGTAGGAAAGTCGAGCAAATATTCATTTTCATAAAAGTTTTATTTCATTCACGTATTTTTCTTTGTTCAATAATATTTCAACAACTATCATTTTGTTGCCATTCTGCTTAAAATAAATTTCAAATAAACAAGAATAATACAGTGAAACCCGTGTTTAACAGTACTGTTTGTAACGATAAATCTACCTTTAACGATATTTTCTTGTCGCCGATTCTGGTACCAAATTCCATAAAAATCGCCAAGCGAGTCAACCGTCCTATTTGTTACATGCATTTTGGAGATCCTACCCTGAATGACTTCGAAAGGGCTTATTTACCCCTCCTATACTTCAAGTGGGTCAATGAGGAACGTGTGTACCATGTTTCATCAAAATCCCTTTGGCCATTCGAAAGTGATGCTGGAACAAACATACATACATTGAATTTCATAAATTAAGATGTGAATGGATGAAAAGTAACAATGTATTCTTACGCTGATAGAAGTATAAAATGGCTGTAGTTTGGTTTTTTATGACGAAATTTCTTGTTCCATCATGCCTAAGAATTGATAACGTCTTCCTTTTATGGTGCAGCAACAAAAGAAAATAAATAACAAAATTGATGAACCATGTCTGCACATGTTTCTTCATGTAGACAATTCAGTATAGGCGAAACTCTAAGTAATCGTTTTCGTTCATAAAAATATTTTTAAAAAATTAAATTTTCAATAACCCGCTTCATTCTCTAAGGTAATGTAAGGAATTCAATATTATCACGGAATCAATCACACTTTTTAAATTAATAACGTTTTAATACTTCTGCGATTAGTTCGGAAATTATCAAAGACCTTCATTTCATTCATTTGTCATCATTTAATTAGTCATCATTCATTGCTTCATTAATCCTTTCATTCCTTAATCATAGAAGAAATCTGAACTTTTTCGTAATCTGGTACACGAATGCATGATATTGGCAAGTAATAAATATAAATATTTGGATCTAAAGAAACTTTGGGAATTTAATTTACTATTCATGATATCCATTAAGTGTTTAAGAACCTATTATTAAGTTTTGGGTTTTTGAAATTTTACACACACACACAAAATAATTTAGTACGAAAAATCTCTAAAGTTACCACTATTAGAGTAAAACATTTATATATATATTAGAAGAAAAAGTTAAGTATTCATATTTCAGTCCAACGTGTATCGTTTTACGTAAGCTGATACATGTACGCGTGTATTGGTAAGAAATAAATTTATTTAAATCTAAGCAAGCTGTTGCAGTGCCTGTCACTTTAAAAATGATAGTTGGCGGACTGAAATTTAAATAGAAGAGTATTACCATACTTTATTTTTCATATGGCTTTGAAAATATCTTTGACGAATTAGACATATAAAAATTTTTTACAATTAATTAAACTGTTTCTTAAACGTTCAGAAGTATCACAAAGAATAAGACTTCCGTCCCCGTTTCTCAGAACTATATTTCCGTTTTTGCGAATTATTTTGTGGAAGTGTGTCAAATTAATTTCTTCGTAATCAGCCAGAAGAAGCGCATTTGTTTTAATTTTTATTGGAAGATATACCCGGCGTTATGATTAAAAAAACCTCCAAATATTATTTACAATCTGAATATTATCTTAAAAATCAATGAGCAAAATTCGTTGCACTAAAGAGGATAAAAATAAACACAACTTTGAGTAAAATTATCGGGCTGAAAAAGCCGAAGACAAATTCCTTGTTGAAAAAGAGCTGGACCAGTTTAAAATTTGCCTTGACGGATTTTATACTTCCAAACTTAATTAAAAAATAAACTATTTAAATTGTTCTCACGGAACGTTTACTAAAACTTTCCTTACTCTTCATAGTATTTGTGACAAAAATTTGAAGAACATCTGTCTGGTAGTTTGGATTTAAATGCATCAGCTATATCAGGGGATCTCAACCTTTTTTCCCTCGCGTACCGCTTGATTAGCCTTTTAATTTTCGCGTACCCCCTACTGTCATACCCCCCACCCGTACTTCTATGAAAAGAAGTTTTTATCAATAATGTTAAGGACTTAGGTACGCTTAAGAGTCAAATAACGCGAATTAATGACGTTTGCAAGCCTTATTTTTAATTTTATATTTTATTCCAATTTTAAAATAGTGTTAGTTAAACGGCAAAACAAATAAAAACAGTATTGTAATAAGTATCACATTAACTTATAAGGTTAGGTAAAAATTACATTTCGTAATAATCAGTTATTCAAGTGCAAGAAAATTTCAATGCGATCCTTGAGCTTGTTTCATAGAGCTGAGTTTTATGAAATTGGTTTTAAAAGAAGAAAGATATAATTTTATGTCTGGAGCTGCGTCAAGCTTATTTCGGTATTTATTCTTAATATATTTATAAGACGAGAATGCTCTTTCCACAAGCTCTGTGTTCGTGAAAGGTATTAAATATTTTATTCCTTTAACACCGAGTTCTTGGCACTCTTCTTACTGTGCTACCCAGAAGTCAATCAAATTTCTTTTTTTAAATTCAGATTCTAAAGAAGAATCAGTGGAAAGTTCAATTAATTTGTCTTTTTCAGAAATTATTAATTTTTCAGGTTTTTGAAAAAAAGCTTCGTTGAATGGATTTAATATCCACATATCTGCATCACTGCGCTTCGGAAAATATTATTTGAATGACAACATAAGTCCTTTTAAATGTGCTATTTTACAAGTTTTTACTTGTTTTGTTAATTTAAGTTCGTTCTCAGATAAAAAGCTATGAAGTGTCTCAAAATTTTCATACTGTTTTTTATTATAAAGGATTCCCAAAAATCCAGCTTCTTAATCATAGACTCGATTTTGTCAGTTACCTTAAAAATGGTTATGGAATGGTTCTGCAATACTATAAATGAAGTTTATTTATTCCTGAAAAAATGTCAGATAATTACGCAAGCTGCTGCAACCATTCACTTTCATAAAATTTAGACCTCAACGTAAAAAGAAGATGGTCTTCAAAAAATATAAGAACTTCACGTCTCAGTTTAAACAATTTTGTAAGTACATTCCTCGCGAAAGCCATCTCACTTCTGTGTGCAAAATTAACGTAGTATGTAGGCTGCCCATGTCTCCATACAAAGATTTGAACAATCGAGTGTTAGTTGAATTAGCCTTAATGAAATCTACAACTTTGCAGATTGATTGAGTACTTCTTTCAATGAATCTGTCAAAGGCTTCTCTGCTAAACTTTGTCTGTGGATGCAGCAATGGCTCCAAGTTACATGAGGGGCGACTATTTTGATACGACCACGTAAACATTTATAACAGCCAGGTATAGATTTTCCACCATCTGTGTAGACACCACAGCACTTATCCCAATCCATTTCGTTTCCACAGAATTAACCCTGGATGGCAATAAATATGTCCTTGCCAGTACATCTTTTATTGAGAGGATAGCACAATAATAGATTTTCTTCAAGTTCGTTACCATTCAAATATCTTGTATAACAAGCAAAATTGACAGATCGGAAACATCAGTGCTTTCATCCACCTGTATTGAAAAGAAGGGACTCTTTTTTTATCCTTTCATTTATAATAGCTTCAATGTCAATTGACATGTCCTTAATTCTCCGAGAAACTGTGCTTTTAGACAAAGGAATATTTTTGCTTTTTGACATGATCTTCACCGAACATACATTCAACCGCATCCTTGACACACGGAAATATCAAATTTTCAGCGATAGTATGATTTTTTCCATTTTTAGCGATATGATAGCTTATTCTGTATGATGCCTCAATCGCAGCCTCATTTGCTTTGTTTGTAGATATCAAACAAGAATTTTAATTAGGGCTGTTGGATAGTCGTCGGAAAAAACTAATACTTCTTTGCTTATAAATTGGATATTTTGTTTCTAAATGGTGCATTAATAAAGATGGTTCCATGCTGCCATTTGACAATATCTATCCACAAACAATGCAGAGCGGTTTTGAGCAATCTTCCTCACCCGCGACGGAAAATCCATATTTTAGGTATTCGTTAGAATATTTTCTCTTCTTCGGAGGTGCACTGATGTTTTGGTTTTTTTAAACAAAATTAATTTTATTTCTTACCTGAACAGGCCAATCAGTCGGCCTTTGCACTTCATGATTATCATCGTGCTGATCCACAGTTATCTCAATAGCTGCCAAATCGGTGGTTTCAATTCTATATGCCGATCTCTTAAGAGTTCCATTTTTCAACCACTTGTCCATTTTGAGAAATCAAACAATATCGATTTGAAGTTACTCTAAAGATAAGTACTTCAAACTGAGAACGTATAGGCTACTAACACCAGTTTTGTGCCACAAATTAAACCAAACCAATCAAATTGAGCACCCATAGCTTGAGTTATATGAACAGTCGTTATTCATCATGCAACCCAATCAAGAAATTAATGATGCCTGCGTTTAATCACGCTTTTAATAAAAACGTCAAAATAAGAATTTTTGAGAGGATTCCGGATTGTTCTCGATAAACCTAAACTAGAAGAACAAAAATAAAAAGCATACCACACTGGTGCCTGGTGAAGCTACAGCTTTTTCGAACACACTGATGATTCATGCATAATCAGGGCTGGTGAAGAACAAAATAACAATCATTTATTAGGTTTTCTGTTTCTTCCTTTTTTTCTTAGTTTGAGCGTAGGTTTTAGGCCAACACAACTTTCACTTTTAATTTTCACACGAACTTAGGAAAACAAAATACTGTCACTTTTTTAATCCTTTATATTTTCTTGTGTCCGTCATTACCGACTTTGATTTCGCGTATCCCCAACTGGTCCTTCGCGTACCCCAAGGTGTACGCGTACCACAGTTTGGGAACCTCTGAGCTATATGAATGGCTGAAGCGTTCTCTTTCTTGAAAAAGGAAATAATTAATCCAAGGATTGAACTTCGGACCAAAAGCCGCAGTTTTGTGTCTTACCAACCTCACCAAACAGCCGCTTCTCAATGATAGGTGTCTTTGCATATAGTTCAACGGCAAATACGAATAAACCTTCAAGTTTGAATTTCTACAGTTATAAAAAAAATTTGCGATTTAGTTTTATAGATGCTTCATATTATTTCACAGCAAAATTTGAACGAAATCCAGTCGGCAGTTTGCATTTCTGTATCGTACAAACTATTTATGCATTTCACTTTTATTGAATTATTGTTTAGCGTTCTAAGTGTATCAGCAAATTTTAAACTGTGCATGCGCAATGGAGTTATAGATTTTAATTAATCCATCGATGACCAACATCTATAACAATTACATTTTTACTTCCGTGGCTACGCCGATCGCATATCTTTGGAAAAATGATTACAGATTTCGTTGAAGATGATGAATAATTATTTGATGCGTTTTGATAACGTTGCCGTAGTTTTATGAGACTCTGCTGAAAGTATGCTTTATTTATTGGAATGTTCTGTAAGTCGTTGATTTGCCTGTAAAATATCCAGAAAGTAAATATTGCTTGTTTTAAAGATAATATTTTACTAACATAATTTGCAAATAAAAGTTACACATTGCAGAATCATCTATTTCCAGGAATACGGAAACAATGCGACGCATTCTAAGTAGAATTAATGGAACCTGCATAATGCAAGACTTCGAATATAAATTTGTCAGACCAGATGTTCCTTACAATACGCTGTGATGGACAGTATAACAGCAGAATGATTACAAAAAATAATAATAGTAAAAAAGTGTGCAATGCACAATAGCGGGCATTAAACAACTTGTTATATATATGTATATATATATTTAAAAAATTTACTCTTTGGAGTAAATCTCTTAACAAACTAACTTGACCTGATCAACTACTTTTAATCTAAATTGATGTTTACCACAGTTTAAGGCTTTTCCTCCTTAAGGTTTCATTTCTGCTTTGAGACGGTTTAGAAGTGTAAAAGTTAGAAAGAACTAAAAGAGTGTAAGTATTACGACGCAAAATAGACGTGTTTCGGTTGGCAGCCCGACAAAAATAAAAATTCCGAAGTAAGCAGATACACTGCTAGGCAAAATGATTGCAAGATTGGTAAAATGAGAAACATTTGAAGTTAATTTGAATACAATGGATCACAATCAGGTGTGGAGAATCATTTTCCATGTATTAATTGGCTCTCACGTTTCGCAGTGAAGATTTTGTCAAGAGGGCATTTAGGAGACATCTGGAAATTGATGAAGACAAAAAGGAATTCATCCTTCTCCGCTTCACTGAAAGCTGATAATGATTTGAAATTTTCATCAATGGGTTTTACTCCTATGCACATTGCCCGCATAGAAATAGCGTCTATATTCGGAAAGATAGAAAGGTTTCTTTAAAAAGTTCCAAATTTTTCATCATGTGTTTTGCTTATAAAATACAGAGTACCACATCATACGAAATTTACAGAAAAAATGACAATGTTATAGGAAAGTATTATTAAAATTTGAAGTAAATAATGTGTTGAGGAAATAAGGGTATTCGTAGTAGACAATTTTTACCTGCGCATGCGCAAAACATAGCATAATTTTTCTTTCATAAAGTCGAAGCCAGGCAAAAAAATGTTTTAATATACAAGGTGTCCCAAAACTTTGACACATTTCAAAATGTAATAAAAAATAAAAATGTGATAATTGTGTAAAGCTTTCACTAATAAAAATATGCTCACCCGGCATATTTTTTTTATTATAAAGAAATGTTCAATTGGATGCACATAGATAGCGCTAGAGGTACAGCATTACCTTAGTAAGGGTAACTTCCAATCCGTCATTGTACATAAGTATGACGACTCTAACGGAAAGATCAAATTGCGCCGGTTGATACTTTGAAATAAAGTTCATTATTCAAGTTCAAAGAAAGTTTCGTAAACCTACCTTTCATAAAGCTGTTCCTTGTCGAAACAGCCTTACGTCATGGCACCGAAGACTTTTTTTTAAAGACTACACTATTCGTGTTGACTATGTAGTCAACACGAATACTAATACTAACTCTCTTAGTAATTATACAATCTTAGCAATTATGCTGCTATTAAGAGAAACTAACTTTTAAGAGAAACAATTTATAAATATTAATGGTGATTTAAAGTCAAATTTAATATAGCTATTTTCATCGCTATTTTTTTTTTAAACTATTAGTGGTAAATAAAGGAATACACTGAAATCAGAATTAATTGTATCTTCATCGCATTTGATGAAAATGCCATTATTGTTAAGTAATTCTCCGAACGGACTGCTAAAATAAATGTCAGCGAGTCATTGAGCGGTCGCCCTCCACTTTTTTTGGTGAAAAAAATTAAAGTTTTACTTCATTTTACCTGCCGTAAACTAGGAATTATATAAAAAGCAATAGTCTTCAGTAAAACTAGATACTTTTGTAACTAACTTTTTAAATTTCGCTATATATCTCGAGTACTCGGGAGTTATATCTTAGATGTCTATAAATTATCCCCCCTCGCTTTCACCACTCAAACGCCGCCACTGGCTAAATTCAGCAACATGTAATTTTATTACCTTCCTTAAAGTTTTGTTTAGTAAAATATCAATTCTTACATAATCTTCGACAAGATACAGGTGAATGTACTAATTGAATAATTGCAGCAAATATTTTTCAGAATATTAGCTTTTTAAATATGAATCCTCAAATATAGGTCTGTGTTGAAAACAGAAACTATTATTCGTCTATTCAGGTTTTGAAAAGTTTTAAATCTAAATGAAACTTCATTTTAAAAATAAAAGAAAGTGTTTCCTCAGTCTGTAATTATGTCGGTTTATCATGGCGGAAAGCAAATGCAGGCAACCCAGATAATGAGACGGTGGACATTCTCAAAATTAGCAACTGAAATTGGCAATGGTTATGAAATTCCGGTTTCTTATTTTTTTTCTTAAGAAAAAATATAAAACGAGACCTTTTAAATGATTGGAACCTCAGTTGGCGGGACTCCGAAACTGGAAAAAAACTCAAGTAATTCCTTCTGACTCCTTACTTTGACCTAATAATGCATTTCTCTCTCTCTCTAAATATTAGGTTTATTTAGTTTCATGACATGGTCCATTTACAACTTACTTGCATCATTTTAATATTTCTTCCACTCCATTATGTTTATGTGGTAGTGGTATGAATGGTACTGTCGAACATTATATTTTTAAATGCAGACTTCGAGAGGATTTTCAATTAACAAAACCCTGAATGGATGATAAAAATAAACGGTTTATGAATGTTTTAAAAAATAATGGGTCGTTGCTCAGGATCAGAGAGAGCTGTGAAATTTCAAGGGAAATTTTCAATCAAATTAAGGATTGTGGGGACTGACTTGTGATTTTGACTTTTGGGATGTCATGGCTGGTTAGTTGGTTCTCGTTTATTGGTCGTTCTTTACATTTTTTATATATATATTTTTTCTGTGTTGCTGTAGGTTCTACTTTATGTTTTTAATTTCTGTTCTAATTTCATTTTCACGAATTCTTTTCTATTTAGAAGACTGATTGCTTCTTCCAATTACTTAAATGCCTGACAGATATAAATGAAAGATATAAATGTAAGACATTCATATCTTTCCTTAGGTATTCTGGTGTAGGAGAAACAAGAATTTCAATTGGTTGTGTGGCAGTTTTTTCCAGACATCTTATGCCAGAATTAGAGATATGTTATCTTGGCATCAGGATAAGAATTAAAAACCGATTTCAGACCACAGATCCTCTACTAATATCAATATTGATGGTTTTTATCTTTCAATCTCCCCAAATAGTTTGACCGAGAAAAGCGAGGTCCTGTGTTAATTCGACCGTTAGACCTTTTGTGTGTTATTCAGTAATTCTCGCAATCGATTTTTTGAATTTGCATGAATATTGCTTGAAATCATTACAAACGAAGCATGCTAAAGAATTTTTATTTCCTGATTCCGTCTCAAAGTAGTGGCCATTTTAAAAGTTTCCGTTCTTGGTGAATCAATGACGAGTTTGTGCCCTGTTCTGGATTTTTTCTTCCTTTAGAAATAGGGCAACTCCTCAAAGCTCTAAAAGTTTCTCCTACTTTTTTGTGACCACGTTCAACTTATCTGTAATTTATTTATTTGTTTCTGGATTGTGGACATTTTACTATCCAACAGATGTTAAATTACGTTTTTCTTATGTGTTTATTAATATTTTGTCGTTTATGCTTTCTTATTCCATGCTAAATAGGAAAACTTGCGTTTCTTGAAAAGAACTCTATCAACGCCATTGTTTATTGTTTTGTTGCACATTTACTTTAATTTGTAATCAGCATTATCAATTGTTTTAAACGGAAAATTCAAAACCTACGTGGTCGTTGAATTAGGCTGTAATGTATTTGCAGGCATAGTTCTTTTGACTTTACTAACCATTTACAGTTCTAAGATTCCAAATTATATGAAGAAGATCAAAAATGCAATAGGCCTCTTAATAAATAAACATGAACAAAGCAAACTCAGAAACGAAAAAGAAATTCGAACACTCAAGAGAATGGAAAAGAAAGAAATAATGTACTTGTCTGCTAGTGGTACGATTGATTTTAAAAAAGAGTGTTCTTTTGACTGCTTCTGGGACACTTTTTAAGTACGGCTTGCTGATTGCAAATCTTACTCTGTAAAACGAGACCTTACTTTTTTGAAATAACCCAAATGGTTCCCTTTTATTAATTTATTCTAATAAAGATGCTGTTTGAGTTATAGCATTTCAACAACTTCACCAAAAAATATTCAAGAGTGAAGAAATTCTCCATAAGCGTTACACGTTCAGAGCATAATGACAGTTGCCTTTACAACGACATCTCACCCATTGGAGCTACAAAGCAGAAGTATCCCTAACAGTTATTTCAAAAGTCCTCTTGCAACTTGCACTCCGACTGCACTTTTTCGACACTTCGTAACATTTGTCGATATTTCAGACTTGAATTTCACTTATCTTACACATTCTAAATACAAGTAAATGTCATTATATATTTTTATTTGTGTGTGTTC